ATAGTCCTTTAACACAAAGTTTAACTCTGTAGAGCTGGTGATTGTTAGGCAGGTACAGTAAGCAAAATGCATGTAGTACATAACATCACGAAAACTGTATTCATGGAATTTGAGTTAGCATGCTCCATTGCCAATTCCCTTCATCCATAATCTCTCTTTACACAGAATACATGAGAACCATATTTCCTTCAATGTAAATTGCTTTTAAAAACATATTTCCAGTTTTTTAATTTAGTGACATCTCTTCAGTTAAACTTGCTGGTTACCACCTTAAATGCCAGTCAGTGCTGACTGCATCACAATTGAGTGAAATGGCCTCTTGTTCAGCTGTTACAGACCTAGATTGTTAAGGCACCTTAGAACATCTCATCTTTTACAGCTGGTTAGTAGGTACTATTTATCATATAACTAAATATTGGGGCACTGGAACATACCTGAATTAAGAATTACTTTGTCTTACACTTGTCTTTATAGTCACTTAAATCCAAGAATCCCATCTAAAACACATAAATACCTTGTCTGAAACACCTATACTTCCCTGACCAAGTCAGAAATGAGGTGGGGCAAGTGAAAGATGATTCCATATGTAGACATTCGTTAGCTTCTTGTAAATAATTGTAACTGGTGGAATATAAAGTAGAAAATAAGCAGTTATACATTTGTTCTATAAATTGTTAACCTTTAAAAATATAATTGCTGCTAAAAATAGAGTGCTGTTACACTTAAGGAAAATTGGTGCCACTGTTTTGAAAATGAGATCTTGTGCCATAAATGCAGCTGAACTAAATATAAATATTAGTTCACAAATTAATGCTGTCAAAGGAATGAGTGAAGTAGAAAAACTTTTAACCAATGCTATTTCATTCTAAATTATGTAGTGTGATCAAACATGATCATCCAGAATTTTTATATTTTTCTTTGTACAGAGGTTATGTATTCTGGGTGTTTTTTTAAAAGGAAACATTTTAAATCCCACAGATTGACACTTTGTATCAATCTTCAATGGACTTAGGGTTTTTTCCTCAGTGATCTCTGAAGTTTCTTTAAATTATATACTTAACACAGCAGAGAAACTGGATTGTTTTTGTATATAAGACTGTGTACACCTGAAATGTTGTCAGAAGTACTGGGAGTGGGGGGGAGGACTGGGTATCTTGTATATGATATTAGAAGTAATAATGCATGAACTTATTTTATAAACCCTTGGACTATGTATTTGACATGTAAAATATGTACAGTATTAATGTCAGCCATTTCTTAAAAGTGAGCCTATAAATATTGTTGTATAATTTTCTTTGGTCAGAAACATTTGGACTAAGTAGTGCCACTGGGTCGGGTTTTCTTCAGTGCCATTTAGCAAACCACCTGTCTTTACTATGCAACTAGCAAAAATTTGTATAATGCATCAGAATTTCAGTTGTCACACTTTAAATTTCACATGAAGGGTTCTTCACTATTCTTTTGGAACCCAGCCTAGCAAAATTAGAGGAAAGGCGCTAAGGAGATTTATTTCTGTTAAGAGAAAAAAGCCTACATTTGCAGACTCAACAGTTGAATCTACTATAAATAACAAATACTGTCTACTATCTCAACTCTTAAAAGTTTACAGTGTTGGGACTGTCATTTGTGCTTTCTGTGGGGTAGTTGGATAAAATTGGGCAGCTAAAATTTTCAGTTCCGTGTGGCTCCTAAATTTTAAAAAGTTTGTAAGTTGATTCGCAGACACAAAGTAGCAGCTATCTTGCATGTGTGTTGTTGGGTTTTTGTTCGTTTGTTTGTTTGTAAACTGGTGAAATTTTCCAACCAGGCACATGCCATTCAATTTTCTGTTGATCATACAGTTGTATAAAGCAGCAAAACTGAAGGGGGAATGATTGTTGTATACACTTTAAATTGGTTTGCATGGTCTCATTTGAGATAATTGGTGTAAGAATCTTGACTTTTTTTATATTTGGAAACATCAAATAAAAAATGGGAATGAATTTTTTTTTAACATATCTTAACACTGTCCAAGTGAAAACTTGTCTGGCATTCCACAGTAACAACTTTACTGTTTTCCCATGGGTGGCCATATAATTATCTCTTAGCAGTAGTTCATTTATACACTTCCCTTTTATGATCCTTACTAGTGGAACTGAGTTAAAAGGAACAGCTCACCAGTAAGGTGTTGCCATTACTCTCCTAATGTATGTTTTCCATCTTATTGGACACCAGTCATGCCACTGTGGTTGTCTTATTTATTGCTAGTCCCCTTTCCTAATGGGGTTTGTGTTATAATTATTTTAACAATTTTCAAGGGCTCTTGGCTTATTCTGTGAGTATTTTGCTGTAATATGTTGCAGACACTTTCTACACTACCATCACATTATTTTTTTTTTTTTTAATTATTTTGGTTGCGCTGGGTCTTAGTTGCGGTACTCAGTATCTTCGTTGCCACCTGCAGGATCTTAAGTTAATGGACGCGGGCTCTAGTTCCCTGACCAGGCATCAAACCCGGGCCCCCTGCATTGGGAGTGTGGAGTCTTAACCACTGGACCACCTGGGAAGTCCCCATATTAATTATTACAGCTCTGTTTTAAAAGGGTGACTGGTGAGGCCATTATATTTACCCAAAATATTATTTACCTAAGGTGAGCCTTAGAATCCTCACATAAAAGTTCTACTCAAATCTCATTTGGTTTTTGATTAGGATTGTTAAATTGGAGGAAAAGAGAAAACTTGGCATTTTCTAATGTCTTCATGTTGGAATACAAGAATTCTCTACATATCTCTTACACAGACTAAACACTAGTTGAGCATTTATTGAAGTATAATTTGTAATGGATTTGTGACAGCTGGAACGTTGCTGTGTAGCTGATTGTCTCGAAGTTTCCATCCAATACCTTGTTTCATAAATTCTTAATGCAACTCTTTACCATTAGCTGCACAGTAGTCAGCAACTGCTTTATGCCTAGCATTAGAGCTACAGAACAGAACAAGTTTGTACCCTCAAGGAGCTTATATTCTAGTGAAGTAGAGATGAGTGATAATTATTTATTTATACATCAGAAAATGTCTTTCAAGGTGTTAGATCTATTTTTTAAGACATATAGGTACCATCTTCAAAAGCAAAATTTTATATAAAAATGTGATCCCCATCAAATACTTTATATACATACATTTTATATGGAATTGTAGAACAAAGGTTGAAAAGTGATCTCATCCCTGGTGCTACTTTCTCTCATTTTTAATACCTTCCTGACTAGTGCCATTGGCTAAATTCTAGCAGTAAGATGAGAAGGCTTCTAAGGGCCATCTTGGCATTGCATTATGTCAAAGACCCTAATTTACTCTGAAACTAGCTTTTTTTTTATTTTTTTATTTTTGACTGGGTTGGGTCTTCATTGCTGTGCACGGGCTTTCTCTAGCTGTGGCAGGCAGAAGCTACTCTTCATTGCAGTGCACGGGCTTCTCACTGCGGTGGCTCCTCTTGTGAGCACAGGCTCCTGGCGTGTGGGCTTCAGTAGTTGTGGCACATGGGCTTAGTTGCTGCGCTGCATGTGGGATCTTCCTGGACCAGGGGTCGAACCTGTGTCCCCTGAGTTGGTAGGCAGATTCTTAACCACTGCACCACCAGGGAAGTCCCCAGAAGCTAGTCTTAAATTCCTCTACTTTGATGCGATTTCAACTAATTATCCCAAAAGTTACTCTTCCCAATATGTGGAATACTACCCTCTGGACATCCCATTTCCTGGTTCTAATTAAACACCAGTGCCAGACATTATAATAGCACCGTAATTCTTAACTGCTTTTCTCAATTTTTACTCAAATTCATTCCTTAATCAAATTAGTGAAATAAAAAATACTTGGCTATTACTGTGTATCAAGAAATAAAATACCTTTTAATCAAGTTACTACACTAGGAATCTAATCTCCAGGAATGTGGATACAGATGTACCTACCAAGGTAAGGCAACCAAAGTGGTGAGACATGGAAATAAAATGCCCAGGCCCAAAGGGGTAATGGTTAACTAGTAATATATCCATATAATGGAATATTATAGACATAAAAATGGCATTCAGGTTAAGGATGCAGAGTAAACTGGTATGGCCTTTTTGAGAGCAACAGTAGTAGTAACTATCAAAATTTTAAATGCATATAGCCCTTTCACCAATTCCACTTCTGGGAATCTAGTCAACAAAAATACTTCAACAAGTTGCAAAATCAAAATATGGTCAAAGATGTGTATTGCATTATTTATAAAACTGGCATCAATTTAAATGTACAAACTGGGGGTTAAATTATGGTCATCTACTTGATAGACACTATACAGCTACCAAAGAAATGTGCTGCCACAGATGGAGGTCCTTTCAATAATGCTAATTGAAAAACAATACAGCATTACCTGTTAAGGTCACATTTTTTAAAGGAGCCTGTACAGATTTCAGATTTCCTTTAAAAATCCTGTATAGGGACTTCCCTAGCAGTCCAGTGGTTAAGATTCTGCACTTCTACTTCAGGGGGCACGGGTTCGATCCCTGGTTGGGGAACTAAGATCCTGCATGCCGAGAGGCGCAGCCAAAAAAATAAAATCCTGTATAGTTTTTAAGTGAACGTTCTGAGAAATTTTCAGTGTGAAAATGTTCAATAATCTCAAATGAAAAAACTGGGTTTTATAAGTGCCCAACCTGTATATAACTTATCAAAATATATATTACTATCAAAGCAGAAAAAGGAAATCTGCACCACAAATCTTTTCCGTTATTGGAGTAACAGTAACGTATCACTTTTTTTTTTTTTTTAAAGGGCTTCAAATGCTTGGCTTATTTGTGTTTTTTTTGGCTGTGTTGGGTCTTCATTTCTGTGCGAGGGCTTTCTCTAGTTGTGGCAAGCGGCGGCCACTCTTCATCGTGGGGCGCGGGCCCCTCATTATTGCAGCCTCTCTTGTTGTGGAGCACAGGCTCCAGACGCGCAGGCTCAGTAGTTGTGGCTCACGGGCCCAGTTGCTCTGCGGCATGTGGGATCTTCCCAGACCAGGGCTCGAACCCGTGTCCCCTGCATTAGCAGGCAGATTCTCAACCACTGCGCCACCAAGGAAGCCCCGTATCACTTTTTAAAAGGGGGAGGAGAGACATCTCCGTCGGTTCTAACACAAGAGCAGTGGAATAATCAATCACTGCCAAGGAGGTAGGGGTTAATTCAGCCTACAGACCAAATGGAGTCCCCAGCCTGTTTTTTGTATAGTCCACAAACTTGGAATGTTTTTTACATTTCTAGTGGTTGGAAAAAAAATACCTTGTGACATGTGAAAATTAAAGTTTTGTTAGAGAAGAGCACAGCATGCCCATTTGTTTAAAATCGTCTATGGATGCTTTCTCACCACACTGGCAGAGTTCAGTAATCGAGACAGACTCATGGCCTGCAGAGCCCAAAATATTTACCGTTTCAGAATGAAAAAACACGGATTACAAGAATTTGGCCCTACTCTTTTGGTTACTCACAGTCCTGATGCTTCCTGCCAAAACATAAGGAAAACAGCACCAAGTTCAAATTTAGTGTAACCAACATATCGTGTCTAACCTGCTTTTGACAGTTCTGAGTAAGTCGTCTTGAGTAGTCTACTGTTGAACCTAAGCCAGAATACTTTGTAAACTTGCTAGGTTATAATGAAACAAGAGTTATTGGGATTTACTAATCTAGATCATGAACTATTTCAAAAGGAGTCACATGGTGGGTGAATATGGATCAGGAATATGTAAAGTGGAAATGTGCTAGTTATTCCACATGATAGGAACCTGAGTTATCAAATCTTTCATAATTTCTAAAACTTTTTTTGTCCCATAGGTAAAAATGCTTAGCAGAGCAATGTTAAAGCTCCTTAATGAGCACCATAAAATGTACGTCTACGAGATCATGGGATTTCATTTACTCTGCTACGAGACAAGGAAGGTCTAAATATTCAGACAATTACCATATGCTTCTCCAACCAACCAGAAACAACTACATCAAGTCCACAGCGGCTCAGCTTGGTTAGCAAGTCTGCATTCATACGCTTTCGAAATGCTACGCCAACTGGCACATACGAAATGAGATCAGCTAAAGGGTAGCAAAGGTGAAATTGCAGGGAGAAGGGAGGACCCAGACTCCTCATGTTGAGTTCCATACTTAACAGGAAAAACTTTAGTCCAACTCCCAGTTTTGCAGCCAATGGGAACTTGTCCAATTTGTAACATAAAGCTGTAGCAAAGCCAACTCTTGGAACAAATCCTCCCAATTTCCAACCTCAATGATAAAAATGGAAATTAACTCAGGGGGTGGGGGATTTGGTTAAGGAAACAAAGTATCACCAGTCTGGATGGTGGAGTACAGATTTTTATTCTTAATATTTCAAGTTATTACAGTCAACATATTTTGCTTTTGTGATCAAGTCATTTAAAAATAAACCCCTGATATTTCTTAAACTAAGCAGCATGCTAAATAGCTAAATGAAATGTTGCCCCCAGCCCCAAAATACATTATTCCAATGAAATATTTTTTTTAAATAGACTGTTGAATTAGCTGCCCTATAATCACGGCATTCTTTTTTTTTGCCACCTTTTGTAGGTAAGGCTGTATTTTTAAACCTTTGCTACTGCAACTAACAAAAAGTTGATGTGGCTAGAGTAAGTAGCCAAAAGATTCCTGAACCATCAAATAGAAAAATAAAGCCGATTCCTATCATTCCCATGATACCATTTAGTTCCATTTAGCCAAAATTGTGTTTATGTCTTAAAGGATACCAGATTTCCCCGCCACACTCTCCTTTAATAGTGCTAAACCATAGCACCTATGGCTGCTGTGTATTGATTTATTTTTAAATGCTCTGAAACTGTATTAAAAGTGTGTTCTTGGTGTAGAACAGAGTTTAAGTTCTACATAATTTCAAATCTGAGATCTCATTAGACAGCCTCTGAGAGGACCAAGACTAAACTAGTGTGGAAGCAAATCACAGCAAAGGAGACAACAAAATTTAAAAATCACATGAAAAACGAAGCTCCTATTAATACCTCAGGATTTCAGAAAAGCTTCTGAATGGGCAGAGTTGACTTTCAAGAAGCACTTATCAATATATTCAGATTCTTTTCCTCTCGCAGGGCTTTGCGCATGCTGTTCCCCAGCCTGGAGGTGTTGAATCCAGAAGAGCGGCCCCTCCCAAGTGCTTACTTCCCTTCTCCATCAGAGTGGAAACTGCTCTTTGTCCATGCCCCCCTCCCCCATTAGATTAGAAGGTCCACAAAGGAACATCCCATGCCAGTCTCATACACCTAATCATCCCCAACTAGTACAGTGTTGGGCACATATTAGGCACTCTTACTTGACGAATAACTGTGTCCATAAGCTTAGTAGTTACAAAGTCAAAGACTTACGAGCAAGAAGAACTACATAAAGGAGCAGGTGGGCTGGGAGAGGACTCTAACCAGCTGGAGAGTCACTGAATTAAAAGAAGAATGACAAGCTCTTCTTAGGATGGCTGCTACTCAGCTCCTCCCAGAAGGTACCCTACATAAGCCAGGTCATGTCTGCTGCTGCCAGAACTTCAGATTATTCAAGTTACCAGAATTCTGGATTTTCATGTGAGTCTCCTGATTTTTTTAAACGTTGGCACTGAATTCAAAATGTTTTAACCAACCACACTGTGTGGGCCAAGGAAAATAGGCCCCAAAGCCAGATGTAGCTCTCAGTTTTCGAACTCTTATCTTGGACTCTTCCAGAGCCCCTTAAATCCTAAGAAAGCTCAACACACTGGTTCTTGTTTCATCTCACTGGTTGAGAAAGGAAGTATTACCAAAACAATGGGGACTCTTATCAAAATTACAAAGGAAAAAACCATGATGCCATGAAATTAGGAATTCATGTATTTGAAATAAAAACAGTGAATTATTTCATTTCTGTATTTCTATAACTCAAAAACTCAGAGGCCTATTTTAGATACATTTTGTAGAGCAACAGATTTAAATCTGGAATTTTATAACTTGTAAATCACTATGTAATACTAGCTATCATCATGAGTAGTGCCATCTGCAATAAATAAAGCTGATCTCTATTTAACTGCTTGAAGTGTTCACTCATTTTGGCCCCAGAATGAGATTCAGTTTCCTTAGTGGCAAGACAACTTCTAAACAGCTCAAGAATTGTTATAAATGACAACTGCTGTTAAGTCTTTAAATTTACAATATTAGGGTTATGAACAATTTTATTCTGAGTTAAACTAGCATTTGTTTCCAAGCAATGCATTTATTTGGAAGGATATCAGTTACCAGTCATCAAAAACTTTTGTATGTTGAAAATGTAATTTTAATAGATAATTCTTCATCTTACATAGGAGCACAATAAAATACACCACATTCTGAAAAAACTCCAGAAGTTACGAGAATAAGAGGGGGGAAAATTCAGATGGGCTACAATATCCATTACCTTAAACTGCAAGAGACAAAGGTTCCAACCCACAGGTTAACATTTACATACTTATGACTGACTACATTTATGTCTTAAAAATAACAAGAATCAGGAATTAGATATGGAAGGGTGGGAAAGAACAGTTTTGTGGGGGAGGAACTCTGTCAATGCAGAAAAAAGAGTTGATTATCAAATTAAAGAATAAAAGGAGCTCCCGTAGCAAATATTAGAGGGATGACAGTAAGAATCATTAATTGAGGATATGATGCCCTCTAAGGGAGAAACCTTTCTGATGACACTTATGCAAGCTGGCTGCTTGAGATTTGCTCAGCAGGTCTGTAAGAAAGACTCATAAATGGCCTGAGCAAACCCCAAGTGATTATCAGATTGGTGTTTCCTAATAACACACACCAGTGGTCACACATGAAGTTCTGAGACAAGAACTAAGAGCAAAGTCATAAAGCAAATGCCAGACACAAATGTGGCACATGTGAAAGTCCCACATAAAGCCAGTCACGAGTGTGGCTGTGCTGTGACTCTCTCTCCTCTACAGTAATTTTCAAACATTGTGGCAAGACACCAATGATCATCTAACTAATCAGACAACACAAACACATTTATTTCAAATTTCTAGGAGGTAAAAAATGTCACATACTGATGCTTTAGGCATGCTCAGGGCCAGCTTATAAATACTGCATTCAGTGATATATCTTAACACAAATTTTGCATTAGTGAAAAGAAACTGGCAAAATCCTCCTCTCGCCATTCAATTTGTTAGACGTTGAAGACCAAAAGAGAATGTTCCATCAGTTTTAATTTTTAAATACGATTGTCACATTGGGAAAAATGAAATAAACACAGTAAAATAAACTGTACAAAGGCAAAGTAGAATAACAAAAAATATTTTACTAAAACATAAGATTTACAGAAGTTTCCAGACAAGCCATACAAAATGGTCACAAGCTTTTTCTTGAAGGGAGGATTCTACACTTGACAGCAAAGTCACAATGTTATTAGTGAGGGCTGTGATGTTTGTTTAATGTTCCCATTTTGGTTCAAACAATCAAGCTTGTCCATCTACAGTGTCTAAATAAAGTTAGACTTGGCTAGAGAGCATATTCTAAAGAGCTGGTTAGCTGCTTTTAACCAATGCAATCAGATCACCATAAAAAGGGGGAAAGGAGCCCATAAAATTAAAATAAAACTACCTTCCCCCCACCACCAAAAAAATAATAATAAAGAAAAACACCCACACCCCTGCAGCTAACCCTGACAACTACCTTCATTCACAGTGCTTTATACTCAAACCATGATGGGGAAATGAATAAAAGCAGAGAAAGGCCACTGCTTTTAAACGTTTCGCAACAATCCAGATGACACTTCTAGCCTCTGCTCATGCTTTACAACAGTGAATCAGGACAAGACATAGATTTGCTAATGTGCATTTAATCACCAAAGGACTGAAGATGTCTGGGCTTTTATTCTGTCATGTTTCTAAGACTGTGTCCATTAAATGCAAACAAAAAAGGAAGAAGTCTTGGCAGAACAAGAGAAGTGATGCACACTTGACGATCGGATCGATTTAAATATTATTCATGGCATATAGCCTAGTCCATGCTCTAGCTGCAGACAAAAACAAACATGCAATTATTACTTTACTTACTTCAATATGTTTCTTTCCAAACTCTATAAAAAGTAAACAAACAGTATTAAGTTAATTATGGAAACAGCATGCTGTAATCCCTTAAATTCATGCCATTTTCTATAATCTGGATCAGGGCAGAAAGATTGTCTACGTGTCTAATTACCAAAACACTACAATAGAATTTTAAAGTTCTACAAAATTCAACAGGATGAAAAGAGCTGTCTTCTTTTGTCTCCTTCATTTCTAGACATATAATCCTCCTCATTAATTATGTTAAAATCTGTAGCAAGAAGCTTACTGATTTCAAACTCCCTAACTAAAAACTGACACATAGTTTAGTTTAATCAAACAGATTGCAAAAACAGCTCAAAGAAGCTTAAAGGTCTTCCATTATCTTTAAGTATTGCTAGATGAATGGCAGGCACTCAGGTATTTGTTAAATCATGTGTAGTTATGCAAGAGTCCAAGATCTCCCAATTACAGTTCCTCTTTAAATTTGGGAGTCATGTAGCAGGCTATAAGATGGCATTTGAACATCTTTTGTTAAGAGGTTATTTACATACTATAAGAAAGATCTGATTTTTTTTCCTTTTAATGTACTTTTTCTTTTTCTTGTTAAGACTCTAAATGATGTTTTTAAGACGGTGGTACAGGGCAATTCCCTGGCGCTCTAGTGGTTAGGACTCAGTGCTCTCACTGCCCAGGAGATCTTAGGCCCAGGAACTAAGATCTTGCAAGCTGAGCACAGTGCAGCCCCCGCCCAACCCCCCCCCCCGAAAAAAGGTACAGGTTGTTTTTTAAAGTGGAAGTGGTGTGAAGGAGAATGAATATTAAATACCTGTTTCTATGGCTTGGGCTTCGTTGGTCTTCCACTGCTCCGCTACATCATTTGCTAATGGATCATCTGGATTGGGAGCACTTAACAAAGCCTGGATCGATAGCAGAACTGTGCGGATCTGCAGTGCTGGGGACCACTTATCTACGAAGGTAACAGGCCCAGAATGACCAAGCATGAAAAAAACAGCCACAGAACTGCTGCATTTCCCTCCTACAGAGTTCTGTGGTCTTTATATTATATAAGGTAAGATTACAATATTCAGATTCTCAAAAGGGAATGCTTAAGAGAAAAAGGTGAAATCTTAATAGCATATAATGATAAAGATAACACTTACCTTTCAAAATATCTAAACATATTCTTCCCAACTTGTCTACATTAGGATGATAAATTTTGGTCATGAAACGTACTTTAGGGGCTGCCATTGGGTATTCTTCCGGAAGGAATAGTTCAAGTTTAAAAGTCCCTCCCTCAAAGGGGGAATCCTGAGGGCCAGCAATGACCACATGAAAATAACGGGCGTTGCTCTCATCTGGTTCTGCTTTAATGCCGGGAACTGGCTCTGCCAGCAAACGCTGGGTTTCCTACAACAGAAAAACATAACACATTTGTGAAACAAATATCATTTTGCTAAACACCAAAATAAAAGTTAGAAAATTTATCTCTTGGAATTGGACATAAAAGAACCTCTCCAATCTCCTAAATAGTTTTTATTTAGCTTAATAAAATGCAAAGTTCAAAGGAAAAAACATAAATAATCACAATCAGCTGAAAGCAACTGCAAGCAAATACTGATGACATCATATACAATTCCAGCTACAAATGTCTACAAATACGTTGAGAATAAAATTAGACTAATGAAACTGATCTTATACTCAAGGAAAAGAGAAAAAAAAACACTAGAATTACTACTAAAGTAACTTGCTCTGTTTAAACTTTACCAAAACCAAGCTGTTTAAAAAGTAAAATTAGTTTTTAAAGCCACTGAAAAATCTCCCCTCTGAAAAATATAATGGAACAAAATAAGTACAAGTGCCTAGGCATTTAAACAGGGCTAGAGAAATATACACAACCACGCTGATTAGTCTCTAAAATTGACAACGACTCAAATGGACCCTTCCTGCTCCCTCAGCACTCATATCATTAGTTCTCTTTTCCATCTTTCTCCCTCTCTCCTAAATAACTGTAATATCCTTCCTCCTCTCTGTTCAAACCTCCAATATCTCCATCCACATCCTCACTTTTGGCTGGTAACTCTGCTTTGTATTTCATGAGAAAATAGAAACCTCCTTAAGTTCCCACTGTAGCATTTGTATACCAACCCGCATGTGTGTGCCCATGTGCTCTGCACCTTTTCTCCTGTTACTAAGGATGAAATGGCTGTCACTGGCTAAAACCAACCTCTCCTCTAGATCTTATCTCCTTCTCACCTACTCAAGGACATTGCTCTAGCATCACTTTCCTCTCTTGAATCATCAGTTTCCCCTCTTTATTGGATCTTTCCCCAAACTATACAAACTTACTGTAATTTCTCGCCCAAAAAAGGAGAAAATGACCTTGACCTGACTCTCCCCCACCAGCTACTGCCCCATTGCTTTGCTCCTCTTTGAAAGTTATCTATACTTGCATGTCTCCAATTTCTCTCCTCCCCTCCTATCTTGAACACAACTCTCCAATCAGGCTCTAGCCACCAACCTGCTTGTTGAGGTCATCAATGATTCCCACATGGTAAAATCAAATGGCTAAAGCTTAATCTTCATCTTAATTGACTTAAACACAATATCTTACCCAGCTGGTCTGCCCTCTCCTTGGTCTGCAAGGCTTCATCCAGCTTCTTGCAGCTGGCTCTCTTCCTACTTGTACACTCTCCTGGCTCTCTTCCTACTTGTATGGCAGCAGCTCCTTGCAGTTTCTTCCCACCTCCCCAATACTCCAATATTGACGTGCGCCAGGGCTCTGTCCTAGGTCTTCTACTCTGCCTACACACTTCCAGAGTGATCTCATCCAGTCCAATGAATTTAAATACTCAATCCACTCCATATATGCTGAAGCCCCAAAAGCATATCCTGCACAGATATCTCCCTGAATCATGCCTCTTCTATCCATAACTGTCTGCTCAACAGCTGCTCTTAAATGTCTAATACGCATCCCAAACGTAGCATGACCTTTCCTCACCCTCAACCTGCTCCTCCTCAAAGCCTTCCTCGAGTCAGTTAACCAGAAATCCATCCTTCCAACTGATCCACCTTTTCCTTCATACCCCACCCATCTAACCTGATAAGCAAATTTTGTTGGCTTGAACTTCAAAATCTACCCGGAATTGGACAGAAGTCTCATCACTCCACTGCTACACTTCTGATCCAAGCCACCATCAGCTCTCACCTGGCAGACTTCAACAGCCAACTAACTTGTTCTACCTGCTTCTGACCCTCAACCCCCATCTGTATTCCACAGAACTTTTAAAAATCAAAGTCCTTATAATGCCCTCCAAAAGAAGCTTTACGTGATCCCCTCATTCCACCTATCTCTTAGCCATCTTCAGCTATGCTTCTGCCACCCTATCCCCCCATCTCATCTGCTTTGTTCCAGCCAGACTAGCTTCTATGTAGTTCTTCAACCTGCGAGGCATACTCCTCCCTCAGGTACTTTGTGCTCACTTTTCTTCCCCCAACTTTCTATAGAGCTCACCCACCCAGTTCCCAAGATCTCCATTCAAATGTGTTTTCTCTCAGTGAAGCCTCCATAATCGAATCTGCAAACCCCACTCCACCCTATCCCATACCCTCCCCCTCTATCCCTGCTCCCCCCGCCCCACCAACTGTATCTCCAGGGCCTCCGAACATATTACATCTCACTTGTTTTGTTTGGAATGTAAGTAACACAGAAGGGGAGATTTGTGTTTATTTACTGCTATATCCTCAGCATTTGGAACAGTGCCTGGCACCATAGATGTTCAGTAAATATCTTACTGATTTATGAATCTATCTAATGTTACAAAGAACGAGGAATAAACAATCAGAAATTTCATCTTTAACATTAATGTTATTCAAAGCAGGATGAGCACATCACAAGAAGAAAAAGAATCCACTCAGGGGCTTCCCTGGCAGCGCGGTGGTTGAGAGTCCACCTCCCGATGCAGGGGACACAGGTTCGTGCCCCAGTCCGGGAAGATCCCACATGCTGCAGAGCAGCTGGGCCTGTGAGCCATGGCTGCTGAGCCTGCGCATCCGGAGCCTGTGCTCCGCAATGGGAGAGGCCACAACAGTGGGGGGGCCGGGTAACGGAAAAAAAAAAAAAAAAAAAATCCACTCAGGTGTGGGAAGAAATAATCTAATTTATATTTATAAATTATTTAGCCAGAAAAATGTTAATATTCAATATACAAACTGACAATAATAGTACATGTAGTTTTATATATTAGTAATATATTTTCAACACTTTGAATACGTATGTGTAGTCAAAAACATTTAGAACATTGCAGTATCTAAACATTTAGGTATGAAAATCAATGAATGAGAATATTGTATTCACACTGCCTTCACTTAAGAAAAATTATACACCTTACACTACTTCACTCTACAGCCTGCAGTGCATATACTAAAAAAAGATTTCTCTGTCAGCACGGTTATATATTGAAATAGTCACAAGATGCAGATACAAAATCAAATCCTTTCCCAAAATGTGTTAAACTCATTTAAAGTAATGCTTTTAATACTTTAATTCAAGACTAGTTTGTTTTGTTTTGTTTTAATCATGGCAATGCAAGGGCAAATCAAAAACTGAAACGATATACACTACTTTCAGCAAAATATTCTTTAGATTCAAACAAAGTAAAACATTTTTTTGGAGCATTAAAAATCTCAAGAGGCAATAAAGAAGCCTCCCATCTTGGGAAGTCCTCCAACATGTAACTAGAACAAAAGAGAAAAAGTAAAGATATCAGGATGAACAGCAGGCGTGAAGGAATGAGAAAAGAAGTGGATGGTAAAATTCCTTGAATTTTGACTCCTCACCTCCATCCTCCTTTGGTTTTACCCCAGGTCTTCATATTTTTAGAAAGCCATAAAGAGAGAGAGACTGGGGGAAAAAAAGAGAAAGCTGGGGTCCAAGAGCCCCAAAACACCAGTCCCTGGTTAAACGAAATAGTAGCTCTATTCAAAGCTATAAAAAGCTTCCAGAAGGGCCTCTAAGATCACATCCCAAAATAGCTTCAAAATCACTCTCTGTAGACATTGTCAGAGGCAGAGAGGGCATTCTCCTCATCTTCAGTTCACCCTCAAAATCAGTCTTTCTAAAGAACGTACATATTAAACATATCACGTGGCCTGATCAAGTATCAGATTTAATCAGAACACATTCTAGAATAAGCTCTTGGGTATCGAAAACTTTTTGAAATTGTTTTTATATGCTCTCAAGTCCTAACGGATTTTGATATAATGAACAGATGCATAATTATTTGACTACACAGCACTGATTTCCCAAACCCACAGCATAAATTACAGGAGGAAAAAAAGAATAAAATCCAAACCAAATGGAACAATTCTCTCCCACAGAAGTTGTCGATTTTTTTCCCTAAAAAGGCAAAAACTGGGTAGGAAATAAAATCCTTCCTGCTACTACTCTCACACATGGTTATAACTGTGAAACACGTTCTAGTTTTATCCTATCCTTTGGCAGAAAGACAGTGAAGTATTCTTCAAGTCTAGAAATAATGGGTTCAAATTACTAGTGCATTGCTTAACTACAGTTTTGAGCACGTAATTTACATTGCTCTGAGCCTCAGCTTCCTCATCTATATAGTTAACATTACCTCTCATGCAGAGGTGCTATGAAGAGCAAATGAGATAACACTGTAAAAGGACTTGGCAAATGAAGTCACATAAGAAGGCCACAGTCACATTATAACCAACTCAAAAAGAATCTAGGGTAAGAATAAAGCACAGTAACAAGTCTCAAGATTTATTAAATAACAGTGTTTGTTTTTAAAGAAAACAATAACCTGTAGTTGCATTTTGTGATCCTATTTGTTTAAAAGCAATCCTGGGACTGAATCCCAGGTAGAACTTAGGTTAGGCCATGCAGAATAGAAAGTAATGTAGACTAGTTTAGAAAATTGCTTACAAAAAGTAGAAATGAATTTGAATTTAAGTGGCAACAAGATTAGGTCGCAAGGAAACTATGTCATCTTACAGAATGCATATAGCAGTTCATGCTACAAATACTTTAAAGGATTTAAATAACATCAAATTGATCTGATTATCAACAGATCTATTGGGACTCAAAGAGCAAATCCCAGAATAACACCACAGTAATGACAACACTTGACATTCAATCAACTAAACTCCATTAACTAGGACTTTTCCTGTTTTTAGGTTCAGTAATAATTTGTGTGCACTATGAAACAATGTAAGGTCTTACAAATTTTAAGGCAATGAATTATGTACAGTAAAATTTTAGATAATAAACCACTCTTAGAAAAAGAGTGGTAATTTTCATGTAGGAAAAGCTGTCCCACTTATTAACTGTATATACCCCCAACACATTATATGTACAGCAATTAGAGTTTTCCCCATTTAGAATATTC